CAGGTATGGTGGGGCTGCGCGCCGTGATCGACTTGATCCGCATCCGCCACGTCGGCTTGGCCTCCTCAGCCTCCTCAGCCTCCTCCGCCTCGGCGACCACCACCTTGAAGGCCATGGGATGAGCGAGAGGGCCGGCCTTCTCCGCCTTCTTGATCGACTGAATGCCCTGCACGATCATGTCCATCTGCTCCGCGTCCCCCTCTCGATTAGTCCCCAAAAATCGATTGCGAACAGTAGGGCGCCGTGGCCGTGGTCGTGTGTGGTCGTGGTGGGGGTGGTGGTCGTGGTGGTCGTGGTGGTCGTGGTGGTTGGGGTTGTAAGAAAGAGAACCTCGATCTGCGTGTGGGAGGAGAACTGGGCGGATTCCTCCCGTGTGAGGGTCTGTTGGGCCTGGCGGTGCTTGCGGTAGACCACCGTTCCGGCCACGGCCGAGGCCGACAGGACCACCAGCACGGCCGCACCACCGAGGGCCGCAAGAACGACTGCAGCCCCGCTGACAGCCGCCGTGCTCGCACCCGCCGATGCTGTTTGTTGTCGACATTTTGATCGTATCGTCATCATCATCATCATCATCATCGACGCAGGAGAGACCACCACCAACGTGCGTGTTAGTACCATTAGGGCAGCAGCACATGGGCGAAGAAGAAGCAAGAAGCAAGAAGCAAGAAGCAAGAAGAAGCAAGAAGCAAGAAGAAGACGTGATGTATGGGCGTACCCGCGACAGTGGTCATGGCGAGCATGGAAGAGCCCAAGGCAGCCGCCCCCAGATATTGGGTGGCCACCAGATTCACGGTGTTGGCGCCGTTGGTCAGCGTCAGGTCGGTGGTGACCAGCACCCCAGACACCACCTGGTAAGTGATGGAGTTGATGCTGCCCACCTGGTAAGGCGCGCTGCCCGAGGCGGCGAGCTTGCCGTTCCAGCTCTCCAACACCGCCTGGGGTTTTTGGGTTTTGGGGGTTTTTGGTTAGATGGTCGCACCACCACCATGGCTGGGGCAAGAACAGTCGACGACGACTGACGGACCTGTGCTGCGTGGTAGGCGTGAGCAGTGCGCACGTTGCCTTGCACTGGCGCACCAGGCACGACGTCCGACGCCGCCGCTGCTGACCTGCTCTGTTGTCGCTGCTGCTGCTGCTGCTGCTGAGCCTCTGCTTGGCCGTCATCGTGGCCACCGGCTTGTTCGTGGTGTGGTGCGTTGCTGCGCAGCTGTGGGCTCCTTGCCATGGCAACGGCGGTGATCTCCCACGTTTCGATACCGGCCGTGTCCCGGCCTCTTGCGATGCGGCCGTAGCCTGCCAACCAGCGAATGGATGAGTGGTTGGTGGGGGGGCAGTGTGAGTGTGGGCGGGGGCCGCACCGCGGTCGCCCCAGGTTGGACCCCAGGAGTTGGCAAAGAGCCAATAGTCTTTGCCTTCGTCGTCTGTGCCCCACCTGCATCACCTCCACCACACGCAAAAAACAAAACGAAAGAGAAGAGAGAAGAGAGAAGAGAGCAGAGAGCAGAGAGCAGAGAGCAGAGAGCAGAGAGAAGAGAGAGCGGACCCGATGATTGTGACCACATGGCCGCCGACGAAATCCCACGACGTGGCGGAGCAGTCCCCGGAGTAGACGTCCGTTGGCGTCGTATTGCTGGCAAGTAGAGCGGAGAACGAGCGTGAGATGGAGAACCCATCATGATGGGGTTTGTTTGTTTGTTTTGGGGTGTGGGGAGTGTGGGGTGGGGGTGTGTGTGGGGGGAGGAAGGCAGCGGTACTAGAAGTTGAGCAGGCTGTGGCACACGAAGATGTTGGCTGCCACGGGACCGTTGGCTTGGATCTCGCTCATCAGGTCCTTCACCGAGATCGCCACCCCACTCGCCGACCTGGCCAACGGTTGCAGTGGTTCCGCTGCACTGATCCCCGCGGTGACGGACTTGGCCGACCCGTTGTCGCATTCGGGCTGTGCGCGTTGTCGTCGTCGTCGTTTTCATCATCGTCATCGTCATCACCCCCCAAATCACGCACGCAATGAGACGTGTGTTAACGCTTCCCTTAGCGCAGCAGCAGCAGCAGCATCAACACACACACACACGACACACACGACACACACACGACACACACACGACACGCACACGACACACACACGCACACGACATACACACGACATACACACGACACACACACGACATACACACGACACAGAAGGAAGCGCGCAGGGGTGTCAGAATGTACTTTGCAAACAGGAGGGTTGTTATCCCAACCGTTGAAGAATCGGTCGCCTCGGCACGAGACCGGCGGCAGGCCCCTGGTGCTCAAATGCTGGGCTGCGGCCATGTTGGATTCGCCCTCGCAGGGGTTGCCGCCTGGCGCTAGTCGAGGCAGGCAGTCGAGCAACTCCTGCGCCGAGAACGGGGCGAGGCCGCATGCCCTGTCCGTGGCCGCCGTGGCCACTGCAAACGCCGCCCCACTGCACACGAACACGAGAAGAACGACCATTTAGTATTGTCTTCTCTTTTGTTTTGTTTTGTTTTGTTTTGTTTTGTTTTGTTTTGTTTTGTTTTGTTTTGTTTTGTTTTGTTTTGTTTTGTTTTGTTTTGTTTTGTTTTGTTTTGTTTTGTTTTGTTTTGTTTTGTTTTGTTTTGTTTTGTTTTGTTTTGTTTTGTTTTGTTTTGTTTTGTTTTGTTTTGTTTGTGAGCAAGAGTGAAGGTGATGGAGATGACGGCTGGCTGGTGGTGTGGGTCCGTATTTGGTTGTGTTACCTGCCACACAGGCCCTGGTCCCTGATGGTGGTGGGGCACGAGTGCTCTTTGCGCCAGTTGAACGACTCTTGGTCTGCCCCACCCACACATCCACACAACACATTGATTAGAGAGAGACGAGAGAGCAGAGAGAAGAGAGAGCAGGAGAGAGAGAAAGGGCGTACAGCAGCCGTCATTGTGTGGGCAGGCGATGTCGAGTACGTTGCTCGGCCGTCCCTCGTGCCAGTCCGGCTGGGCCGAGTCGCGGCACACGCCCTTGCAGTCGACGCGAGCCGAGCCACCGCACACGCCCTTGCAGTCCATCGACGCGCCCGGCAACCGGCCCGTGGTGCCGCCCGTGCACTGCCCGCACGCGTCCAGCACCGCCTCTCCATGGCACACGCCGGCGCAGTCGATGGCCGGGTTGGGCACGTAGCCCGCCGCCGTCGGATCGGAGCACGTGCCGCACGCATCCCACCGGGCCGCGCCGTGCGGCACGCCCAGGCAATCGGTGCACGTCGAGTTGTCGCCCCCGCACACGCCGCACGCGTCGACGGCGACGTCCGACGGCTCGACCACGATGACGCCGTGGATGGCCGTGTTGCGCTGGTCGTGCCACAGGTAGAGGCCCGGGCTGAAGAACCGGTGCGGCACGCTCGCCGCCCCGGCGCCAGCACCGCCGCCCGTCGCTCCCGGGTGCGGCCACCGCGTCGACCAGCGTCGTGCTGTACTTGGCCCCGCCGCTGGGTCTGGAACCCGCCATGAGGCTGCGCAGGCCTCGCTGCTGCTGCTGCTGTGCCGGATCGGCCCAAGCGCTCATTGTCTCGTTGTTGGGGCTCGCCTCGGCCTCGGTGGTGGACCTGGCGTTCGTCAATCTGAGGGGCGCTCTGTCTGTCAGAGCTGGCGCTCCCGAGTTGACCCGATTGATTCCCATGCTGACGCCCGCTATCAGGTCCCTTATCAAAGGTAGGATGCTGCCTATGATGCCCATGGGGCTCGGGGGCATGCCCGCGGCCATCGGGAGGAAGGCGACGCCCATTGCTACGCCGTGGCGCATCACGCCCACACCGACCCGGCCGGCGGAGGACATCACCCACTGCGCGGAGCAGCCCTGGGGCGCCTCGTCCTGGCATTTCTTGAGCATGTCGTCGAGCTTGTTGAGCGAATACTGCACCGGCATGGCTGCCAGGGCTCCGGGCAACGTGGTCGCGTCCAGGAGTGTCAGCGGGTTAGACGCGATGGCCGTGAGAGCTTCGCCGGCCTGGGCCACAAGCGCCGCGGGGTCGAGGACCGCGCTGATCGCGCCCGGCGCCTTCTCGATGATCGTCAGCGCCTGGCTGGCCGGGTTGTCCATCGTGTCGAGCTGCGCCACAAAGTCCTTCGGGCCGCCCTCGATGCCGAGCGCGGCCCGAATGGCTGACTGGGCCAACTTGCGGCCGACGCCAGCGGAACCCGATGGTCCGACGCCCAGGCCGGCCAACCCCGACGGCCCGACGCCCAGGCCAGCCAACCCCGACGGCCCGACGCCCAGGCCGGCCAACCCCGCTCTGACGGCCAGGTCAGCCAACCCCGACGGCCCGACGCCCAGGCCAGCCGACCCCGACCCCGACCCTGACGGTCCGATGCCGAGCGACGACGTTTCGTCCCCGTTTCGTTTTGCCCGACAGAGGCAGCGGGTTTCACTGCTCGTCGATGAGGCGTGCTTGGCCGCGGTCCGTCGCGCGATGGCCCAGTCAGCTGCGGGAAGAAGAGGGCTAGGTGTGCCGGTCGAGTTGGCGATCGCTGGCGACAGGGGCTGGAGCAGCTGCTGCTGCCGCAGCTCCACGAGCTTCGACACCACCAACGCGCGCAGCGACCTGCTGCCGCTGCTGCTGCTGCGCCCACTGGGCGGGGACGACCACCGCGCGTTGGCTTGCCTACGCGCAACTCGGCGGTTGTGATCGTCATCGTGGTCGTCTTTGTCTGCAGTCGGGCCGCAGCAGACGCCGCTCATGGCATACTGCTCCTCCTCCTCCTTGTCGCCGTCGTCGTCGGTGTCCGCCGCACCAGCGCTGTCCGTGGGGCTGCCGTCGTTCGATCTCTTCCGACGGGTCGAACGGGTCTCGAAGAAAGCGTTGCCGACCGGACTCGTCACCCGCCTGTTGTCGTGTCGTGTCGTGTCGTGTCGTGTCGTGGTTGGTGTCAGCTGAGCCGAAGAAGTCGAAGTCGAAGTCGAAGTCGAAGACGAAGACGAAGAGAGAAGCAAAGAAAAGAGGGGAAAAGGTGGGAAAGCAGAGTGTGGACGGACCAGCCGGGGAACAGCTCGGCATCGTCGTGCTGTGGCGACACGGCAGATGCAGCGGTGGTGGACCGGCGGCGAAGGTACTTCGTTGTAGAGTCCGGCGCCGGTCCGTGCCTGCCACCAGAGGGATCCACGGCCACTTCCACGAGGTCTTTGATCCACTGCTACAGACGTGGTCCCCCCCCCAGAACAAAGAATGGTAAGTGAGATTCAAAGCGGCCGAAGTAGTGGCGAGCGGGAGGGGGGAGAAGGGGCACCGCGAGCAAGACGCCGAGGCCATGGTCGTCCACCTGGTCGTGGTCGCGGTCGTGGTCTGGCTGGCCGTTGAACCGCGACAGATCGACCGCGGGCGCGCCATTGTAGTCGTAGGCCCCGCCTGTGATCTCCACCTTGCGATCGAGCAAGTTTTCCCACACCACCAAGTCGCCCACGCGCACCCACGTCACCAGCGACGATGACGACGACGAGGCGCTGGCAGCAGCGGTGCTGGACCCGTTGGTGCTGGTGCGTTTGGTGTCGCCGTTGTGGATGTTGCTGTTGTGGTGGTGGTCGATGCGCACAGAGTGCCACTGGGCCTGCGCCGGCTTGGGAATGCAGCACGTCGATCCAGTGCCGCCGCACACGCCGCACGCGTCCACCGTCTTGCCCGACAGCGCCACCCCGTCGCACCCGCCGCACGTCCCGTTGTTGCCCCCGCACACCCCGCACGCGTCCACGCGCCCGTAGCACGCCACGCTCACCGTGCGCGACACGTGCGAGATCACGTTGGCCGCCTCCGTCGAGAAGCCCGAGTGCAGGATGACCGCGTGCAGCTCCTGCTTGCCGAACAGCGTCGGGTTGCGCGTCGCCCAGAAGATCGACACCTCGGAGCTCTTGGTCTCGTTCGTCGAGCCGGTCACGCGCGGCACCAGCACCGTGCCGATGAGACGGCCCGTGCCGCCCACGCCGCCGTGCCACAGCTGCACGAGCACGTTGGCCCGCGTGAACGTGTCGCCCAGCACCGTCGCCGTCACGTGGTACCCGGTCGTCAACCCGCTCCCGTCGCTCGCCACCACGGGGCTCACCGCGATGGCAGGGTCGAGCCGCAGGGTCTGCAGCGTGTAGCCGCTGTTGGCCATGTCGTGGAACAAGAGGCTGTAGGCGTGGTTGTTGTCCTCGTGCATCTCGTCGAGCTCGTCGTTGTCGTCGATCGTCGCGTGGATGTTCTGCACGCCGTCGAAGCGGAACAGGAACCACACCTCGCGCTTGCCCTGGCTCGGGATCAGCCCCACCTCCTCGATTCCGACTGCGTGACACACACACACACGACACACACGACACACGACACACGACACACGACACACGACACACGACACACACAACAGTTTGTGCGCGTCAGACCCCGCACTGCCAGTGAGAGTTGCGAGAGAAGGTAGGTTACTGAGGGCGTTGTCGTCGAGCAGGCACGCCTCGTCGAGGCAGTTGTCGGGCTCCCGCGCCACAGCGCCACTTTCACGTTGCGCGCGTCCACGAGCGCTTTGTTGCGCACCGTCACCGCCACTTCGACCACCTCGCCCTCGCGCGGCACCGCCGGCGTGGCCACCATCTCCTTGGTCAGCATCGTGCGGTCGCGCTTGAACGTGGTCCACCACCAGGGCAGGTTGAACGTCGGGTCGGGCTTGCTGTAGGTGCGCTCCCACCACGTGGACACGCCCGGGTAGTAGCCCGGCTCGGCCGTGTAGGCCACCTTGAGGTACTCGCGGCCGTCCGGCGCGCGCGCCATCCACACGAAGGGCTGCACGCGGTAGGCGTGCTCCGGGTTGATGGGCTCCACGTAGCACACCACCGACACGTCGCGCTCGATCGCCGCCCTTCGCAATTGCGATGCCTCGTCGTCGTCGCTCGTGTCCCGCGGCGCCCGTGCCTTGTATGTTAATGTTGATGAGGTCCGGTGTATCGAAAGCCATGCCACGCCCACGGAACGAGGCCCTGAACTGCGTCGT